CTGAAAAACCTTTAGAGCACCTTTCAGCACATACTATTTCATTAGAACACCATTTGTAGTATCAGCCAGCCAGGTTGCATTCTAACAATGTATGGATCATATCACTGAGAATGAACTGGGTAGCTTCTGTATCAGAGATTCTAGGAAGAACTGAACACAAACATAACCCCAATGTCTCTTGAAAGATCACCACCAATGCCTCTACAATCTCCTCAGCAATCTCTGGTGTGCAGTCCATCTGATCTGGGTGATTTATTCACTTTCAAACTTTTCTGCTTCTACAGCACCTTCACGTTAGTGGGGGCCACTACACTCATCTCTGCCCTCTGACTCTCCTGAAGTTCTGGTCTGCTGTTGGTGTCTTTCACTGTGAAAACTGATACAAATTACCTATTCAGTTCCTCACAATGTTTTTGTTCCCGATTACTACTTCTCCAGTCTCATTTTTCAGTGGCCCAACATCCACTGTTTCCTTTCTCTTATCTTTTATATATGTAAATAAATCAGTTATCCTCTGCTAGTTTTAAAGGCTTCCCAATCCTCTTGCTTCCTACACCACGTTGCATGTTTTCTTCTTTTGCTTTTATGCTGTTCCTGACTTCCCTTGTCAGTCATGTTTGCCCTGTCCTCCCTTAGTGTGTTCCTTCTTCCTTGGGATGAATTTCTGCTTTGCCTCCTGAATTACCCTTGAAAGTCCTGCCATTGCTGTTCCATTGTCTTCCCTGATAGGCTCCCCTTCCATTCAACCCTGGCCAACTGCTCTGTCATGTCTTTGTAGTTACCTTTATTTAGTTATAATACCATTACATCTGAACCCAGCTTCTTCCTCTCAAACTGCAGGATGAATTCTATTATATTGTGATCACTGCCCCATGGAGGTTCTTTCACCTCAAGCTCCCTAATCAAGTCTACCTCATTATACATCAGCAAATCCAAAAATGCCTATTCTCTAGTGGGTCTACCACAAGTTGCTTCAATAAAACATCTTCAAAACATGCCACAAATTCCTTTTCTTGAACTCTGCTACAAATCTGAAATTCCCAGTCCATGTGCATAGTGAAGTCCTCAATGATTCTTGTGAAAGTGCCTTTCTTGCAGGCTCTTTCTATCAATACTTTATTTCTGCTCCACATCATGACTACTGCTAAGGGGCCTGTACATAATTCCCATCAGCATCTTTTTCCTTTGCGGTTCCTCAACTCTACGCACACAGATTCTACATCGTTCGATTCTACCTCACTTCTTGCTATTTATTTAATATTTTTACAAACAAAGCAACCCCAACCCTTCTGCTCATCTGCCTGTCTTTTTGATAGATGCATATCCTTGGATATTTTAGTTCCCAGCTCTGATTCCCTTACAGCAAAGTCTCTGTGATGCCCACAACATCGAACCCACAAATTTCAGTCTGTGCTACAAGTTCATTTATCTTATTTAGTATACAGCATTTATTTATGTACAACACCATTAGTCCTAAATTGATTTCGTATAATTTGATTTGATTTAATTTGATTTGATTTATTATTGTTACATGTACCTAGGTACAGTGAAAAGTTTTTTTTGCGGGCAGTACAGACAGACCATACCATACAAAGTGCATCAGGGTAATAGAACAGAGTGAAGAAAATGGTGTTACAGCTGCAGAGAAAGTGTGCAGAGAATGAGATCAACGGTAAATTTAAAATTTGACAGGTCCATCCAAAAGTCTAATAGCAGCAGGGAAGAAGCTGTTCTTGAATCTATTTGTACACGTATTCAAAATTTTATATCTTCAGCCCAATGGAGTATAACCGGGGTGGGAGGAGTCTTTGGTTATGTTGGTTGTTTTCCCAAGGCACGAGGATGTATAGATGCAGTCAATGGATAGAAGGCGTGATGGGCTGGGCTATGTTCACAACTCTCTGTAGTTTCTTCAATCTTGGGAAGAGCAGTTGCCAAACCAAGCTGTCATGCATCCGGATAGAATGTTTCCTATGGTGCATCTATAAAAATTGGAAAGAGTCCTTGTGGACATGCCAAATTTCCTTAGCCTCCTGAGGAAGTAGAGACATTGTCAACACAGTGTGGAGCTGGAGGAATACAGCGGGTCAGGCAGTATCAGAGGAGCAGGAAAGTCGACGTTTCAGGTGTACACCCTTCATCAAGTAGAGACATTCTTGAACATTGCATCTTTTCCCCTTGTCATAGCTGTCCCCTTATCTGTTGTGCCTGAAGTTAGATTCCTGACTCTTTCCAGACTCTCTTTCCTACTACTTGTTCTGGAAACATTAATAATCTCTTCTGAGTCCTCCCCGTCAAAGCAAGACCAGTGCTATGATCTGGTAGGACTATGGCAAATTTATCTTACCTCTTATATGTCAAGGAGTCAGCATTATTATACTATCCCTCACTGTGTTGATGAAGCAACAACCACTCCTTCACACTTAATTTTAAAATTGAGATGTAAAACAAATTATTGATGATAAAACCATTACTAATAACTGGAAAGCCAAGTGGAAGAAAAATGCTTCTGTGCTCAATTATAAAAAAAAAATTTCAATCACAATTTTTGAACTAATTAATAATGACTCCAGATCTTAATCTTAATCATTAAATATGGACATTCGCCATTCCATTGCCCTTTGGCCACTTGCGACTATTTGCTATTTGTTCCATTTTCTCAGCTTCCACTGTTAACTTTGGGTAATTGGATACATGAAAATTGTTATATTCTATAATGTATATAACATATACACATTGTCACAAAAACAAATATAAAGTTGGTAAAATAGTGTTTCTTTCTGTATGTGAAACACATTTTACGCAATTAGGCATTAACTATTAATTGCAATAAGTTAAACTTCTTTACCCCAAAAGATGTGTTCATTATAAAGATATTAATTAAACAGTAAATACTGCAATTAAAATGTGTTTCAAATTGAGCACAGAAATATTTCACCTCTGCATGATATCTAATCATTATTTCCACACATGTAATTTGTTGCAGATCTCACAATCATGCATTTGCTGTAGGTATTTTTAAAACAAAATTGCATGAGATTCCATTAGTGCAGGTGTGTAAGTAGTAAAATTATTAATGACTTCAGTGTACATAAAAGCTTAGTGTGTGTAGAGGCCACTTTACATTCCAGTATTTATAAATGTAGAAACATGGTCTATTTCGACTTCCTTTTGTGAAATACTGCACAGGGAATCTCACACAGATAGTAAGCATGCTTCCTCAACTATTACAACCTGCCATGTTTAGCCCTTTTATAATAGCTGATTATCCATGAATAATGTTTCTAAATTGTTTCAATAAAAAAATGAAATATAGCAACAATTGTCTTGAAGTACGTAAAATATATTTCTCCACCTGACAGCGAGACTGCAAAATGAGTGGAAAGTTGTAAATCCTTTATCTTTAGTTGGCTGCAGACCAATTCCAGTATTTTTGCTTTGCTTCCAGTAGAGTATGTTGCCTACACTTCCTTTACTGGAGCAAACAAAACTTGCTATGTTAATGAAGCAAAAACCGTTCCTTCACACAATAAGCATATTAAAATTGAGATGTAAAACAAATTATTGGTGATAAAATAATTAGTAATAATTGAAAAGTCAAGTGGAAGAAAAATGCTTCTGTGCTCAATTAAAAGAAGTAATTTCAATCACAGTTTTTGAACTAATTAATAATGATTCCAGATCTTCGTCTCAATCATTAAATGTGGACATTGGCCTCTCCATTGTTCTTTGTTCATTTGGGGCCATTTGTATATGTTCCATTTTCTCAGCTTCCACCTTCAACTGAGTGAGTTCAATACATGAAAATTGTGATACTTTATGATGTATATAACATATACATATTGTCACAAAAACAAAAATAAAGTTGGTAAAATATTGCTTCTTGCTGTGTGGCAAACATTACTTTTAGACAATTAGGAATGAACTATTAATCACAATAAATGAAACGTTTTTTTTTTCCGCAAGACTGTTCAATACAATTTCAAGCATGCATTCAGCTTAGCATCCCAATGTTTGAATCTGGAAAGAAGTTAGAATTTGACCTTCCTCAGAGAACTTGTTCATTCACAGAAGTTAAGACCATAAGATGTAGGAGCTGGAATAGGCCAGTTGATCTTTTGAGCCAGTTCCACTATTTCCCAAAAATGTGGCTGATGTTCTACTTCAACTTCATTTTCTCACCCAATCCCCATTCCGACTGATCCACTCAGTACCCAGAATTCTGTTGATCTCTGCTCAATAAGCATTGTATATGCTTGATGATTAAGCATCCACAGGTCTCTTGGGTAGAAAACTCCAAGGATTCACACCTTCTTGAATAAAGAAATCTTTCCAAATTTTAGTTCTGAATGAGTCAGCCCTTGTTCTGAGATTATGAACACATGTTCTAGATTTCCCCCACCCCACCAGGAGAACACATATTTCAGCACCCACAGAATCAACAATGTTCTGTTTCTATTAAACAATCTCTCTTACATTGGAACTCCCTCCATAACACCTTCATTTTTGGGGGGAAGAGGGTGGGTGTGTTAGTACAGCAAACGGAATGCAATGGTTCAAGAAGGCAGCTCACCACCATCTTTTGAAGAGCAAGTAGGGATGACCAATAATTGCTGGCCCAGTTAGTGCTGCCCACAACCCATGAATGGATTATAAAACATGAAACTCAATGGAAAATAGGCCCACTATACATTATCTCTCATTATTGGATAATCCAATCCAGTGATTTATCATTGCCCTCCCTCCCAGGGTAATTTCTTTAGTTAAGGAGACCAAACAGCACTGCACCATATCAATTCCCTCGTTAATTACAGACTAATTATCTTTCCTCGGCTGAAGGCGATATACTTTTGAGCTGGAGTTTAATGAAGATGGGTATTCCACTCAGTATTTTCAAAGAATGCCAAGGCGTTCCTGAGTAGAAGCTTCTTTTATAACAAAGAGATCAGTTTTAAATCACTCGGAGTGCTTTAAACAGGACAAATGTATAGATGCCCTACCTATGAGCAGGTATCTTTCGGTTTCCAGCAATCAAGATGACATCACATAGCTGCTGCTGCTTCAGATAGATCTCCATCTTACAAAAGGTTTGCTCTGCATGGTTTACAGCCTGGAAGAGCTCCTCAGAGCTGCCTGCTTCCAAATCACTGTGTGGCATCAGGGGATGGCTAGTCACTGTCAGCCTGTGGACCACAAAGGGAGAAATGTGTTGTTGATGAAGTGCCAGAGATTTTATAGCTTTAATCACGCTTTCTGCTGATAGCAGGCTTAAGGAAGCCAATATTAAAAAAAAAATCAATACATGCCAACGGCCTTCAACACAGAATATATGGAAATGAGTACAATCTATTCCTTGGAATCTTATCAAGCCTACCTGCTTTAACTCACAGAATGTCTTTATCATTAAGCCTCTTTTTATCTCCATGGCAGTATTTCTTCGAGAGAAAATTGCTTCATGTTTCAACAGCAACAGAGCATAGTAAGCAATATAAAAGATTGTCTCTCTCTAAATGGCTATTGGTAACCTCATTACTTCCTCTAGAAATCGTTCTTTCAGCAATCAGGTCACAGTGTAAAATTATCTAAACTTCAGTTATTGAGCAAATTAAAATTACAGTGATTTAAAGTCAATCACAGACCATATAAACTAGATTAGTTAAATCAAAAATAGACAATACTGCAGAACTGATTCTTATATCCTCTGATGTAAGAAGTAATGCTGGAATGATATTTATAACATGGGGTGGCGGGTGGCTCAGTGGATTAGCACTGCCGCCTCACAATGCCAGGGACTTGGGTTCAAATCCAGCCATGGGTGACTGCCTGTGTGGAATTTGCATGTTTTCCTTGTGTTTGTGTAGGTTTCCTTCAGGTACATCAGTTTCCTTCCAGTGTTCAAAAATATGCAGGTTAGGTGGAGTGGCCATGGGAAGTGTAGGCTTGACAGGGATAGGGTAGCAGGATGGGTCAGGGTGAGATGCTCTTTGGAGGGTTGGTATGGCTCAAATGGTCTGCTTCTGCACTGTAGGGATTCTATAAGAGGAAATGAACAAGTGTCTAATTGTCATTGCCACAAATGTCTAACAAACATAAGCCTTAAAGTCAGTGTGAATCTGGACAAACAATAACTGTTCAATCTGAATTTTCCATTTGTCTTAAAAGTTATGCTCCAGAGCACTTTACACATGACTTAACTGGTTTGAGGGGCTGCATGGCCTGCTACTGCGCTAATGGATTTGGTCTGTAAATAAATGAGATTCTTCTCCAAGCAAATTTTAAAATTATGGTTCAGATGTCTGCCGATCGATCTATTTCTCATCCAGATTAAAAAACAAATAGCTTGACAGACGACACAGTGGTGTTTGCGATATAAACTCTTTAAACAAAGGCTAGCCATAGTTGCCTCAGACTAAATCTGCTTCAGGTCTTTGGATACTCCATGCTGATGTTTTGGCCTTTAGTCCCCAGTTCCTACTTACCACAGTCCAGATATTACGCTCTGTCTAATTTAGTCAACATATATTGCAGTAAAACTTTGTAACCTCCATGAAAGAACTAGCTGTGAATTCAAAAGCACTTTACAAAAATGATTATGTGTCAGTTAATGTAACAGAGGCATCTGCCTCACATTATGAGGGATTACTTGCTGTGATAGACTAGGCTCTTGAAACATAATTTATTAAGTTGCGATATTTTTGAGGTGGTACTTATTTTTCTCATGACAACATTATCAATTCTTAGCACCAAAAAAAACGTGATATCAAAATGTTAACACAAAGAAAATGATTAATGGTGACTGTCAATGTTTGTTTTGTAGATGCACTAATAATTGTGGTAAATCATTTATCAGCTTTTGCTTAAGTTACTAAATATCATTACATGGGAAATTAAGATATTTTGTTAAATTCTATCATTTACCTACACACATTGTTGGTGGATATATGATGTACTATACCTTGCCTGGATGTCAATGTTTATTTGTGTTACTTTGGCTGTAGCTAAGGCCAAAATATGTTAAATTTTCATGAAGAATACTTATAAGTATTAGGTGGAAATTTGACAAGTAAATGACTAAGTGTGCTTTTAAATTGCACACTCTGGGAGTGAAGCTAGTGTTTGTTCTCCTTGAATCTACCTGGAATAGTCACATTTCCCATGCTTCAGTTTAGATCTGAGCATTCAGGCAAAAATCAACATGAAATGATTGGCAAACACTAGTTTGTTTGTGCAATAGTGTCCCATGCATGAGGACAAAACAAAGACATGCTTGAGAGCTTGCCTTTGTCAGTGGGGTGCAGTTTGCAACAGAATAAGAGTTGTTAACTAAAATTTTGGGCCCCACCAAGGATAGAAACTGAGATAGATAGAGCCTGAAACTTCCAATGCTAACAGGCATGCCGACCATTTTTTGCAAAGGCAGATTGAAGGTCTGCAGGGCTACTCATCCCCAAAAGAACAGTAACCTATAGGCTCACTAGGAGCTTGATGTGCTCATTACAAGGAAGATGCCTAGAATTTTCCATTCAGCCTCCAGTTTCCCAATATGACAGGGGTTAGTTTATGTGCTTGGATGCAGGAACGCAGAGGCAGGCTGGGGGCCAGAACTAACTAGCCTACCAGCCCTCTCTGTGTATCTAACTCGGGGTGTAATGTCATGACTCATTGGGCAGCACACTGGAAATCAAGCCCCATTATTCCCAGAATCATTGCAAAAGTTAAAGATTTTAGATATGTGCAAAATTTCCCAACTTTTCTGATTTTTAGACTCTGATTGATAGAAAGGTTTTAGTGTTTAACAAAAAATGCTATTTATTACAAGTAGTTAGATTCTAGCTACAGGTAAACAAATACAAACCATTTGCATATAACACTATTAAAATGTCTAATTTCTTTATAAACTCCGCTTTATATAAACACAGATACGTCGTGTGCAAACACACACACACACGGATGGAAGAAAACTGGAAATGTATTTCAGTTCATAAAATCTGGAGAGTTGTTTCTTGCTGACCAGAAGGCTCTTTCTTAGCTTTCCTTTTCCAAATGCTTCTTCCACTGGTTTACAAGTGGGACAGGGTGGCTGATTCACTTATAAAAGATCTATGACTGACCAATTAAAAGGTCACAGCTGAAGGAAAGATGAATTGATTTTCTTTGAGTTTAAAGTGGATTTTGACTGCAAAGAACAGAGAGACATCTCTTGAACTGGTGGAGATCTGATCATTTCTTTGCATCTTGTTCTGAGACCCAACCTGTTCAGTATCCTGAGAACTAATCACATGGTTGTTGGCAAGAAGAAAGCCTCTGTCATTGATAACTAGTTGCTAGCTCATAGACCAATCAATGTTTTTTTGCTAACTAAAGCTCTAACTGTCAACAGTTCACCTGTAAACACTACTATAACCTACAGCTATACAGTGTTTAGTATCCATGATGTGGAAGTGCTGGTGTTGGACTGGGGTGGACAAAGTCAGAAGTCACATCACACCAGGTTATAGTCCAACTGGTTTGTTTGAAATCACAAGCTTTCAAAGTGCTGCTCCTTCATCAGGTGAAGAGTCCTAACCCTTAAAAGGGCAACAACTCAAAGGGAGCTGAGAGTAATTCCCTCACAGACAAATACTAAGGGAACTTTAGCTTTTTTCACAAGAAACCAGGTGACCACAATGTCTTGAAAGTCTCAGGTTACTGAGTCAGAAAACAATTCAATCAAGCATGAAGGAGGTCTCTGAGCTTTGATACAGATCACGAGCATTGAAATATCAGGCAGGATAGATAGTACCAGCCCTCTATTATGTGACAATACTGTGCCCTTAAGATATGTATTTTATTCTGGTATTTTTTTATGAAGAAAGGTTGAAACAGAATTGCTGAGTGGTCTGCTCCAAAGGCAATAAACAGCTTGTGAGGCTTTGGGTTTTTGTTTTAAAGTTGGAGCAATGGAAACAGCCTGAATGGGTGGAGTCTAGCTCCCACAGACCCAGGGTCCTTTTTTTTCAGTTTTAGCCTCCATTAGTGGTTGCTAGAGTCTTGAAGCTGGATGTGGAAGCTCTTATTCCTCTCTCTGTTACAGCTAAAAGCTGGGGATCTCTTCCTGCTGCTGGAATTGCATGTGAGACGATCTATTTTGCTGGATTTACTTTTGGCAAGGGTGTGTTTAAGGGCTGTTACTATATTTGGAACAGTTAATTAGTAGTACCTAACATATATATTATTTTGTTAAGCATTTCGATAGAGTTACAATTAAGTCAACTCTTTTATTTTTATTTTGTTTGTATTTTAATTATGGTGTATGAATAAAGTGTGTTTTGTTTCAGGCCTGGCAGTTTGATCAATTGAATTGTATCCAGCACACAATGCTTTACAACTACCTTTAAAATAAGTAGAAATTAGGGTATAGACTACCTTCTGAATATATTTTGAGGTGGCTTGGTCTGGTTCAAAGTGAATTCAGGCTCTTGTCAGGATCAAAATCTCTAATTCCATGATGGGATTTAATTTGTTGGACATTGTTCAACATAGCACATCAGGCAGCAGCATATCTTATGGCACTTTAGTGTTTTTGAACTCAATCCCATATAGTGGCGAAAAGTCCACCAATGGAATCCACCTTGGTCCCTGTTGCTTGTTCTACCCTGCTTCTGACCAACCTCAGCTTCAACTCTGCAGTCTGATAAGCCTTGGCTTCCTTTTCCATTGTGCAACTTGGTGCAAGGGCTTCTCCAGGCTATGATACTTCTTAATTCCGGGATCATGAGGCTAGTTCTGTTAAATTTTGGAACCATTTCTCAGTGCTGCAAAAGCTCAGCTGTATCTCACATGTCAAGGATGTGTAGGAGCACTCCAAATGCACAAAGTCTCTTTTCCTTAAGCTCTGGCATTGCAAAGATATATATCAACAGCCTACTATATACTAGTTTCTTGTGTTTTCTCAGTTTTCCAGTAGGTAAGTGGGGCAGTAAAGCAATGCCTATAAACTTTTTTATTCAGTTACTGCTTAGGAGCATCTCATGTGCTCCTGACATGACGCTAACAGTCAATTACAGGATGAAATCAGATTCTTTGATTCATACTAGGCCAAATGGAGAACAGACTGATGTTTGCTACAACTATTTGATGTCCTGTTGTGATATTTGGCACAGAGCAATAATCTTCGTCCATGAAAAGAAACAGAGAATAGCTA